CCGGAGCTGGCCCCAGGGCTTGTACAAGGGCTGGCACCGGAGCTGGCACCAGGGCTTGTACCACAGCTAGCACCGGGGCGGGTACCAGGGCTGGTACCGGCGCAGCCACAGTGTCTCACCGATCTCCTTAACCCAGGTCGGGGACAAAAAAAACCCCCTGAAAACCAAAAAACCACAAACCCACCCTGAACCCAAAGGAGGCGTAAGCACAGACCCCAGGCGCATCTGCAGCCTCGCGGAACTTTGGCAGCAGCACAACATAAGCGAGAGTGGCTGTGAAACGGCTCCAGCTGAACGCCGGGGAGAAGCTTAGGCCCTTCCGTGCTTTTGCAAAGCATCTGCAGCTCTTGGATGCCAGCTGTTGCAAAACGCTGAGCCCGACGATCGTGGGGTGTACCTGCCAAAGCAAACCTCCCCCCTTGAAGGGCTGTGGTCATTTTCCCTGCCGAACTCCGAACAAGCAGAGGCAAGCTCATCAGATAACAGGCGCGTTTACCGAGATAAGGTAATAGCAGAACTCCAGCACAGAGCCTCTGCTATCGCCTCGGAGAGTCCCGGTCCGCTCCGCAGGCGGGAGGAATCTGAGGTCAGGCGGTATTACGTGAGAGCACAAAGGGGTTTGTTTTTTTATGGGCGATAGAGACGGGCCTTTTAAGGCTCACCGCCGTCTGAAGGTGCGTGTTGTTACCAGGAGGAATCCTAAGGGAAGTCAGAGCCTCGCAGAAATCTGCTAGCCGTAAACGTAAAGGTTTGCAAAACCCCAAATCCTCCCCACGAGATCCCAGCCGCATCTCCAGCATAAACAAGGCAGCGCAGTGTCGGCGACATGGAGCTGCCCAAAAGCAGGTGCCCAGGTTGCCCCGCTCAGGATGGTCTTCTCTGTATTTTGTGTCTGAGCCTGTGACCCCGGCGCCTGCGGCCCCGATCCGCTCAGCGCCCTGGAGGGTCTGCTCCGATGCTGCAGACCCGGCCCGACGCGGAGGAGAGCACCTAGGGACTGAAACCGGAGCGCCGAGTATAAACGGGGGCAGGATCGCAGCTCCGGGCCGCGGGCGTCTCCCAGCAGAGGCTGCCTTCCGAACAGGCACTGGGCAAATTCAGCAATAACCGTCAGAAAAGATAAACCCGATGTGTGCGTCCCCCTTCCTGCAGCGCAGGGGAAAGCACCCAGCCTAAGCAGCGGGTGCTCAGTCAGAGGGTTCATCCTCTCTCCGCCCTGCAGACCCAAGCTGTTATTTTTCCAAATCAAGGGGAAAAAAAATATGTAAAAGTTTTCGTCTGTCCCATCACTGGCCCTCTGTCCAAGGCAACAGAAATAGTCAGAGCTTGCTGCAGCTGATTGCTAATGAAAAATGAGGTTCGGAGCCAACCTGCCCTGCATTTTAAGCTCAGACTCCAAGCGTACGTGGACAGTTTCATGCCCGTGAATCGTCTTGCCTCCTGCATGCTCTTTCAGATATTCGGTACATTCCTGCAGCGGGTGGTGAGCTACAGCTCAGGGTCAGAGGTAATCCCCAATTATTTAGCCCTTTTACTGTTCTCGTGCTTGCCAAACAATTCTCCATATCAGGATTTACTCATGACCTTAAGGGACGTTGCCAAGGGTTTAGGAGTCCCCCTAAAAAGAGGATCCAAATGAAGTTACTGCATTCTTGGGCATCAAGTTAGATTGCTGGGGAGTTGAATTACGTTTTCCTGGGGATCAGTTTTCATAAGCTAGGGCTGATGCAATCATCAATTTGCCTTCTCGATGTTGTTTGCTGAATTATTTCTACGTGGAGGGTTCCTTCACAGCGTGCGATTAAGGCGGCAGCAAGATGTTTACAAAGGCTTCATTTTTCTAAAGCTATGCGTCGAGCAGCGGGTCTCCCGGCCGCTTGGTTTCGGAAGGGCTGCGAGTCACAGGACAGCGGCAGCTCGTGTCCAAGGGGGATTTGCAGTTATTTACAGCGGCAGCGACAGGCGGGGGGGCGGCTGG